TATATATATATATATATATACAGTGGTACCTCGGAATGCGATTGTCCCTGTATGCGAGGTTTTCGGAAGGCGAGGTGTATTTACTCCAAAAATTTGTCTCAGAAGGCGAGGGTTACTTCGGGAGGCGAGTTTGGACGCGAGTTTGTTGATACGCGTACAGCCGACCTAGCGCGTTCGTCGCCCCTCCGCCCCTCAGTTTATTATTGTCTCGCGCTCAGTGACTACCCCCACATCAATTCTTCTCGCGGATTTTCAGTGTTTTGTTGGATTTTTGGTGATTTGTCTATACAATTTGTTATTATATATCTCACCATGGGTCCCAAGAAAGCCAGTGGTAAGGATAAAGGCCAGAAAGCTCATGTGAGGATGACAATAGAGGAGAAACAAGAGATCATTCGGAAGCATGAGAACGGTACACGTGTTGTTGAACTTTGTAGGCAGTACAACAAAGCCACATCAACAATATGCACTATACTTAAGAAGAAAAATAAGATTATGGGTGCTAAAGTGGCAAAAGGAGTAAGAACATTAACGGCACAAAGACCACAAATACTTGAAGTGGAAAAGTTGTTATTAATTTGGATACACGACAAGGAGTTGAGGGGTGATAGTGTTTCGGAGGCCATTATTTGTGAGAAAGCCCGGGTGTTGCACGAAGACCTTCTAAAGAATACCCCTGCAACGAGTGATGCAGATAAGAAAGAGTTTAAGGCAAGCAGGGGCTGGTTTGAAAAATTTAGAAAGAGAAGTGGTATCCATAGTGTTACAAGGCATGGGGTTATGTGATGTGATTATGGAAGGGGACTCCCCTTCCAAACAGTAACTCCTCTCCTCCTCCCCCCTCCTCACCATCTTCCATACGCCTACAGCACTCGACAGCAAGGTAAGTAATAACTGGAACACAGTTTTGTAGGTTTATTTAGATGAATTAGGTATAAAAATTTAGTTTGATGTGGGGTTTTTGGGGTAGTCAGGAACGGATTAATTCATTTCCCTTTATTTCTTATGGGGAAATTAACTTCGGAATGCGAGTTTTCGGAAGGCGAGGCGTCTCCAGGAACGGATTAAACTCTTATTCTGAGGTATGCCTGTATATATATATACATATATATAAATATATATATGTATATATGTATATATACATTATATATATATATATATATATATATATATATATATATATATATATATATATATATATATATATATATATATATATATTTTTTTTTTTTTTTTGTTACAGGGGGTTGGGTTTTCTTATCCACTCTCCCTATACAAGTTTGATATGGCTCCTCCCCAGGTTTGGTTCTGGGTTCCCTTGGGTTCTTCGGCCCCTTCCTTCTCGAGGTTTTTGGCATCTGTAGATTGTAGAATCTCGAGCAACCCAAATCTGCCGCAACGAAAACCACACGAACGCAAACTCCTGCACTATGCCTGGTAACCCGAGGGAGTGATCAAGCCCACAGCCCCAAGCCAGCGTGGTAAGCACTGGTCACAAAGCCCCAGCCGAGAGACGAGGTGTCCGTGTGCACATCAAGTGAGGGTTCCGAAAGGTGCCAAGGCACCAAACACCAAAAAACCCAAAGAGGAAGCAGGCAATGCAGCAACCAACGCAAGACCCTCAGTGGACAAACCCAGCGATAACGAGAGTGGCGGAAGGGACGGCCCCGAAGGAACCAGAACAGACGCCGAAGCCAAATCTGACCCAGAGGGTAAACCAGCATGATGAAATGCTTCCTCTACCAATGACGAAGCAAACTCCTGCACAGCTGCCCGAGAAACCGCCGAGTGACCTGGGACCCCCTCAGGAACAGCCAAAGGTGGGACCGCAGCCGGAGCCACGCCGCAGGAGGGAGAGACAAGGATGCAGTCCGGGAATCCCAGACAAGGCCCAGCCAGATTCGAACCTGGGACAAAACCTAATGGGACTTCATCCAGTTCACCAGGAACCCGAACCCGGCGAGCTGGGAAAGAACAAAGCCCCTGGCAAGCAGATAAGTGGACTGGCTGGGAGTCCATACCAACCAGTTATCGAGGTAGGCCAAAAACTGAACACCTAGCAGATGCAGATGGGCCACCACGACATGGATAAGACACGTGAAAACTCAAGGTGCCAGATTCAGCCTGAAGGGAAGGCAATGAAAACGGAAAGCCTGCCGGCCCACCACAAAACCTAACCAGTGCCTGAAGCCCGGATGAATGGGGGCGTGCCAATACACGTCCAGGAGGTCCAGAGACACCATCCAAGACTCCGCCTCCAAAAGAAGCCAGACCTGGGACAGAGTGGTCATCCAAAAGAAGAGAAGAGGAATCCAGTGATTCAGACGGGACAAGTCCAGAATAAACTGAAGAGCCACACAGTCTCGTTTCGACACTGGAAACGAGCGAGAAACCCACTCGAGGGACGAAGTCATCTTGACCACACCCAAGCGCACCCACTCCAGGATGACCTGAAGGAATGCAGGGGAAGAAGCCAGCCCCTCCCCCTTTCTTTGCGTCTTTCGCAATTTGCGATGCGCCTTTCAAGAAGCCAACTAATGCACAGAGAGAGCACCACGCCGAACATACAAAGATGGCTCAGGAAGAGGCACACGCACAGAAGCTGGCACCTCGATCTGCAGAGACCTGAACCCTGGCACGACCTTTCTGGGAATCGCAAGAACGCCCACTCCAGATCACCAACAAATCAGAAAGAGAATGGCATCTAACAGAAGCCACCTGCAAAACTGAGTAACAACCGAGTCTGAAAATAATAACAGACAAAAAAGAAGACGAAAACCTAAGAGCCACGGCCCATGTCAAATGAAGAGAGTAAGGACGGCATGCCGTCACGCGAGGTAAGAGGCAAAAAACCACACACACACACACAACCTCCTGGAGGATAGAAGTATTCAGCTTCAGCAATGCCGCCGACATTCTAGCAGCCAAGGCCAATGGCCCAGACAATGGCCTGGCACTAAGCACCTCCACAAGACAGTCCGAGAACAGCTCATGAAGGGAAAAAAACGCAGGACCGAGGCCAATTGCCCACGAGCACAAAGATCCTCTGCAACCAAGGCAGTCAAAAGGAATGGAACCTGGGCATGCAACTGGAGCAAGTCAACAGGGGCATAACTGCACTCATTGAGGTGCTCAAAAGCACCCCCCACCCAGTTAAACCTGCAATACCGTAGTAAGCTTCTGCCAATCAAGCAGAAAAACCCATGCCATGCCCCAAGCAAAAAGAAAGGGCATTCTGCAAGCTAGAAGACACCGGAACCTAACAACACACCCAATAACCCAATACTGTACAAGGAAGAAGAACCAAACTCAAAACAGACCGGGTCCATCACAGAGGCAAAGTCCGGGTCTCGCAAGACCCAGACTGCGGACCCGGACTTGCACCAAGGGCCTCCCGAACCTCCGCAGGGAAAATCTGAGAGGTAGAAAACCTCCAGAAAGACGAAGCCGGAATCCAAAGGAACCCAGAAACAAACCCATATTAAATTTGTACAAGGAAGGGGGATACAAAAACCCCAATCCTTGCAACAACAGACTCCGCTCCAAGGGCATCAAAGCCCAGGCAGGATCAAAAGGGACCAGGCCGCCTTCTCCTCAGCCCTGGAAGCCTCCAAACCAGGCTCAGGTGCAGAACTCTCCCCAACACCCTCCACCCTTGAAGAAAAAGAGAGATGACAAACAGAAAAGGCATCAAAGAAAGGGGCCCGCAGCATCCCATTCGATGGGTTTTAGGGTCCCTAAAACTAAAACGAGGCAGCCCCGGGGAAGTCGAGCGGGTTACCAACCAGCAACTTAAACCTTGCGTGCAATGCACAAAGCCGGTTGAACCCTGTATGTTAACTGGACAAACTGGCCCCTGTGAAGGGAGCAACCATAGAAGGCCCAGAGGACTGCCATACTGAATCTAGGTATCACCTAATAGGAACACTGGCAGCCTCCCAACAGGCAATAAAGTAACTAAAAGGTGGAAAAGAACCCCAAGGAAACACCACAACCCAGGAGGCCAGAAAGAGAAATGTCTGCTGCAGTTCTGCAAGCAGTACAGCACTAACAACCACCACTCTCTATTTCGGGCCAACCAAAAGCACCAAGACCTAAGCAGCACAAAGACCTTGGTGAGGCAGAAGCCAAGCAACCGCTACCCCTACGGGAGTAGGAACCCAAAGGCCCCAAGGAAGAGAACCCTGGAACCTAAGGGGTGTAATCACAGGGGGCTTGGGGAAGGGAGCCCTAAGCGCATGCAGCAATTAGTACAAAACTCCTGGCCACCTCACCCACACACAGCAGGAACCACCACCACCCGGCTGAAAAGCCTGTCAGGCAACTCAGACCAAAGTAGACATCCACCCCATATAACATAAGTCGACAAACTTGTGGTCCAGCGGCCAAGGCCGGGGGGGGGGGGATCGTGCAAGCTCTCAGTGTGAAAACATGTTTCTTGTTTGCCTTGGGGGGAGTTTCTAGCCTCTGTTCAATCTCAGATTGCAATTTTCCTACCAGTTGGGGTATGTTTTGGGGGACCAACCTTTCTGGGTGTCTAACCCCAGTCGATGGCAGACACGAATACTTTCATACAAGGGAGTTTCATAGACCATTGCACCCTGCGCCTCTTTGTGGGGACCAAGTTCTGGCTATTGGTCCCCAGTAGGCATGACAATTCCATATGACTAATAACAGAAAATATCAGTTCAGTAGCTTCAGGGAGCCGACAAGGCTTCCCCACAGAAAATAATGTATTTAAGCTATATCTTTAAAAATATACACACGGTTAATACTGTATACAACAGTTCAATTTTTTTATTACAAAGTTGCTCAAGCAGGAAATTTACAAAAATACTCTCGAAAGCAATTATAGTAGTACCCACCACTAAAAATAAGAACTAGAGTGAGCACTGGAGAACCCTCACCATAAGCTTTTGTACAAAGTGCAACAAAGCAGATGGCCACTAACAATAACTCAAGTGTGTCGACTGTGATCGCTCAAAACATTTCAGTAATACCTGCCAATTGTCCAATATGGGGGGTAGGGGTGAATGCATGGTGAGCATGGTATGGGTGGATCTGAGGGAGGGCACCACAAGTCCCCACCAGCTCCCACTCGCTGCAGCATCATCTTCATCCAGAAATTGCCCTTAAACACACGCCTCTGTTGTTTCCTTTAAATTTCTTGTGAAACACCAATATGCTCACACTACTTCAGTTTGTTTCACTTTTTTATCCATGGTATATTCAATGGCACTTATGGGTGACCTTACTCATTCATATTCCAGGGTGTCATGCCTTAACAATGTCCTCTGATTGCCATGTAATCAATCATCACACTGAGAATATGACATGAAAATATTAATAGTAAAGATGTAGCTCAATGTAAAAAAGCAGAGTTACATTTAAGAAGACTATAGCAAAATGATAACAAAATTAATAAGAGCCTGCCTTACAGAAATATGCATAAATCTATATAAAGTTAAAGAAATATTAGATTGTCTTCTTAATGTTAATGATGTAAAAATTATATAAAACTAAAAAAGAGTCAAATAAAAAATGATTTAATACTATCTGAAAACAAAAATCTCATAATAAAAAATTATAAATGCATGCACATGCCCACACACTACTTATAGCATAACCCTGTGCTGCGCAAACAGAGAAAACTTGGTCGGTGGGAAACTGCGCAAACAGAGAAAACTTGGTCGGTGGGAAACTGCACCAACCGAGAAAACGCCTTTTGAATTTCATACCCATTCAAAATGCGTGCGCAGTAGATTGTGTACGAAATGGACTCTTGGGACCTCCAGTGAGAGGCAGCCATCTTGGAAAAAAATTCCCTGGATGTTCTAGGGCTGCTGGCTAGCTTAGTACTGAGTGAGCAACTATGGGTGGTGCACGCGCCTCTGCCTCCCAAACACCTGCCTGACACGGTGTTGAAAGATCGTTCTTTGTCGGTGAAATTCAGACCTTATTGTTTGAGGAACAGAAGGGTCATAATATTGATGAAGCTAGGCACAATAAGGACCTAACACAAAGGTTGGATGTAAGCGATACAGCACCGATGAGGACGATACAGCGAGCGTATCCAGTTGTAGCTCTGAGTGCCTCCCTTACCCACCCATGTAATCTCCAATTTTTATAGATGATAATAGATGAATCATTTTTTGGGTTCAGTGATGATGCATCTGATACAAGTAGCATAGATGACCAGTGTTAGTGGCTTCCATGGTGGTGTTTTCCATACATATTTCCAAGAATAGCCGAATCTCTTCCCGATTGACTGAATCTCTTCCAAAATGACTGAATTTCTTCTAGTGAGTGCCCTTACAAAACGATCTTTTCAAGACTACCTTACGCTTCACAAGCTTGGCTACATACCATTTACAGGTACTAAAGCCAAGGGTGTAATTGAGTGCATTATTTGCAAGTACAGTGGTACCTCGGAATGCGATTGTCCCTGTATGCGAGGTTTTCGGAAGGCGAGCAGTATTTACTCCAAAAATTTGTCTCAGAAGGCGAGGGTTACTTCGGGACGCGAGTTTGTTGATACGCGTACAGGCTGACCTAGCGCGTGGTGGTTCGGCGATCGTCGCCCCTCCGCCCCTCAGTTTACCATTGTCTCGCGCTCAGTGACTACCCCCACATCAATTCTTCTCGCGGATTTTCAGTGTTTTGTTGGATTTTTGGTGATTTGTCTATACAATTTGTTATTATATATCTCACCATGGGTCCCAAGAAAGTCAGTGGTAAGGATAAAGGCCAGAAAGCTCATGTGAGGATGACAATAGAGGAGAAACAAGAGATCATTCGGAAGCATGAGAACGGTACACATGTTGTTGAACTTTGTAGGCAGTACAACAAAGCCACATCAACAATATGCACTATACTTAAGAAGAAAATAAGATTATGGGTGCTAAAGTGGCAAAAGGAGTAAGAACATTAACGGCACAAAGACCACAAATACTTGAAGAAGTGGAAAAGTTGTTATTAATTTGGATACACGACAAGGAGTTGAGGGGTGATAGTGTTTCGGAGGCCATTATTTGTGAGAAAGCCAGGGTGTTGCACGAAGACCTTCTAAAGAATACCCCTGCAACAAGTGATGCAGATAAGAAAGAGTTTAAGGCAAGCAGGGGCTGGTTTGAAAAATTTAGAAAGAGAAGTGGTATCCATAGTGTTACAAGGCATGGGGTTATGTGATGTGATTATGGAAGGGGACTCCCCTTCCAAACAGTAACTCCTCTCCTCCTCCCCCCTCCTCACCATCTTCCATACGCCTACAGCACTCGACAGCAAGGTAAGTAATAACTGGAACACAGTTTTGTAGGTTTATTTAGATGAATTAGGTAAATTAGGTATAAAAATTTAGTTTGATGTGGGGTTTTTGGGGTAGTCAGGAACGGATTAATTCATTTCCCTTTATTCCTTATGGGGAAATTAACTTCGGAATGCGAGTTTTCGGAAGGCGAGGCATCTCCAGGAACGGATTAAACTCTTATTCTGAGGTATGCCTGTACACAGAACGAAGAAACAAAGCGAAAATCTACCTTTACCTTGTGCAACGAGAGTGAAGTCGCGCTGTGTATCATGAACTGCTTCGTTGATTATCACTCACTTCCAAAATACTGAGTGTGTAATACAGTGTTACTTCGTAAATAGTGTGTGAAACTGAACATATTATAATTTTAGTGAATTTTTAACAAGTAATTTCGACAATAATCATTTATTGTGGACACATTACTGACACACGTATCACAATTCCATGGAGCATTATGAACATCCCACAGTATACATATTGTAAAGGACAGAAAAATGCATCATATACGATAAAAAAAAAAACGCATTGGAAATACATAGAACAAATAATTGAAAATATATTTGTGGCAACTCGCGTTGCTTGAATGGCACGCACGACTGCCTCTGGGAACTTCACGCCAGGGTGACCAGCCCATCATGCACCCCCCCCCCCTTCTCTATGCCCCCACAGCCAAAGTAAGTGGAATTTTTTAGTTTTTTTTACATGTACGTGTTCAGAACAATGTTCAATGTATGTCCGTTCATTGGAACGGATTAATTCCTTTACCATTATTTCTTATGGGGAAATTAGCTTCAGGTTACAAGTTTTCGGGTTACGAGCTGTCTCCAGGAACGGATTAAACTCTTAAACCGAGGTACCCTTGTAAATTGTCAAGCATTCTTAACGTCAAGATGTGTGGCATCAATCAAGAAGATGAACAACAAGATAGGTTGATGTTTCTAGTTGAATATTTAATAATTATATGTGAGAAGGCAATTCAAATTATGTTGTTTGTACTATAAAAATAGTTGGAAATTGTCACTTTTGGACTCAGAGGTGGAAAAGTAACATTATCCGGAACATGTGATTATCCAGCTGGAGGGTCCTTCCCATATAGCCTGGATAATCGAGACGAGACAGTATATCGGACAAATGTAAAACAGAACCAGGCCTTTTCTATAAATTCATTAAAAGCAAGTTGCAGGTAAAGGATAATATCCAGAGGTTGAAAATTGGAAACAGACTCCTGAAAAATGAAAAGGAAATGTGTGAAACATTAAACGAAAAATTCCAAAGTGTGTTTGTACAAATTGAAATCATCAGAGAACCAGACACAATAAGACTTCTAGAGAACAACAAAGAGCACATAGAGGAATCTAGAGATAAAATGGAAAATATGCTCAAGGAGTTAAGTAAGAACAAAGCAGTTGGCCCAGATGAAGTTTCACCATGGGTTATGAGAGAATGTGCATCTGAGCTCAGCATTCCACTTCACCTGATTTTTCAGGCTTCCCTGTGTACAGGAGTTGTAGCAGACGTGTGGGAAAAAGGCTAACATAGTTACAATCTACAAAAGTGGCGGCAGGGAAGACACCCTCAATTATAGACTTGCATCATTGACAAGTGTAATAGTCAAAGTATTGGAAAAAATAATTAAAACTAAATGGATAGAACACCTGGAGACAAACAATATAATATCAGACAGACAGTATGGTTCTCAATCTGGAAGTTCCTGTGTAACAAATTTACTCAGTTTCTATGATCGAGTCACAGATTTTACATGAAAGATATGGTTGGGTTGACTGCATCTATCTAGACATAAAAAAAAGGCTTTTGACAGTTCCATATAAGAGGTTGTTCTGGAAACGAACACATTAGAGGGGTGACAGGTAAGCTGCTAACATGAATGAAAATTTTTCTGATGGATAGAAAAATGAGGGCAGTAATAAGGGGAAGTGTATCGGACTGGAGAAATGTCACAAGCGGAGTACCACAGGGTTCAGTTCTTGCACCAGTGATGTTCATTGTGTACATAAACGATCTATCAGATGGAATACAGAATTTTATGAACATGTTTGCTGATGATGTTAAGATAATAGAGAAGATAAATAACTTAGATGATTATCATACCCTTCAAGAAGATCTGGACAAAATAAGTATATGGAGCACCACTTGGCAAATGGAATTTAATGTAAATAAATGCCAAGTTATGGAATGTGGAATAGGAGAACACACACACCCAAACAACCTATAAATTATATGAGAAATCTTTAAAGAAGTCTGATAAAGAAAGATCTAGGGGTGAATCTAGATAGAAAACTATCACCTGAGGATCACATTAAGAACATTGTGCGAGGGGCCTATGCTACACTTTCTAACTTCAGAATTGCTTTTAAATACATGGATGGCGAAATACTAAAGAAATTGTTCGCGACTTTTATTAGACCAAAGCTGGAATATGTAGCAGTTTTAAATTCTTACTAATCAAAACTTCCAGATCCCTTTCGCAATCTGACTTCACAATCTCAACACTATCTAGCTCATATCTTGTAACTATCATCATTACCTAGCCGCAAAACCTTACATTTGTCAACTGCATCTGCCAATCTTTTGACCATTTCAAAACCCTATTAAGATCATCTTGAAGTGATAGCGAGTCTTTTTCAGTGTTTATTTCTCTCCCGATTTTTGTATCATAAGGCAAATACGACACTCGGATTTATTAATCGAAGCATTAGTAACAAGACACCTGGTGTTGTTCTTCAGCTATATCTTGCTCTGGTTAGGCCCCGTTTAGATTGTGCAGTTACGTTTTGGTTGACATACTATAGAATGGATATAAATTCACTTAAACGCATCCAGCGTAGGATGACAAAGTTAATCCCCCAAATTAGAAACATGTCATATGAAGAAAGATTAACAAAGCCTAAATTGTATTCACTGGAAAGACCGATTACAGACCGATAGCACTAACATCACACATCAGAGTCTTTGAGAGAGTGCTAAGAAGTACAAAACCACAAAATACATGGAATC